AAACGAAACGTCACGAATTCTATTTTCATCCTCCAAAAATGGAAAAGTGGGCGGGGTCTATTTTTATCCTCCAATCACAGGTCGGAGCAATTCCTCTGTTTAGACGCATGACTTGTTACCGTTGTCTGTTTTCTGTGCTTGACGTCGTTCGCGTCCTGCTTGGAATGTTCTCTCTGGATCATCAGTAGTTTTCCAGACACGTTTAGTATTATGCTCTCTCCGTCTTTGCTGTTCTGCGTGTATCTAGTACCTGTGGAAAATAAAACTTAAGAAAACACATACATAGCCATTCACGCGTCGTTTACGCGCTACAAATATTTCACGGACAGCCCAGTCACCGAGTTCGCACGTTTACGGCTGACCCATCTCTTCAACTTAATTACACGTGCTGCTATCTAGTGGTAGGATACAAATTTATAACGATCAGCAGTTAAGATTAAAATAAATAAGAGTCATAGAATCAAGGTAATAAATCTAAGGTCATAGATTCAATTATTTTTCTCTCTATGCTTTTGTTAGTTTCAATACAATCGTAAATGAATACACAACACATTGGTAAAAACACACACACACAATAAACTAATCAATCGATCAATCAATCAATTAATCAATAAATCAATCAATCAATCAATAAATCGATCAATCGATCAATCAATCGATACTTAACTATGAGCTCACCGATCTCCTTGCGTACGGCTGTGAGAGAGACGGACACGACGCATGCGGGATGAGGAATGATGTTGCTGATGCAGACGTCCTGTAGCTGCACCACCTCCACCTCCACGACTGAAACACACGCACAACAAACCTCACTCACACGCAGAGAAGCTATCACCGCTGCCGCCGACGCATCGCCAGATGGCGCCTGATATAGTCATAACATCTAGAGCGTGATCTTATTGGACGACCGAGAAATTTACGCGCGAGCGAGATCGCAGGTGTATCAGACTTGTCAGCAGGTGGCGCCTGATGCGACCGACGCTTCTCACAGAGGGCGCCACTAACTTGTGTCGCACGCGGGAGGTTCACGTGGGGCGTGCCGGTTCCCCGGCGAACGTTTAGTATTTTAAACGTTGAAATCGTTTCGGATTTATTTTAGTTATTTTTAATTTAAATTTGTTCGATCGTTTAACCACTGAAACGAATTCAGCCGGCGCCTGTAGGGGTCGCGTAGAGGTCGCATATGTCGCATAGAGGTCACGTAGAGGTCGCATAGAGGTCGAGTAGAGGTCGCATATGTCGCATAGAGGGCATGTAGAGGTCGCATAGAGGTCGTGTAGAGGTCGCATATGTCGCATAGAGGTCACGTAGAGGTCGCGTAGAGGTCGCATATGTCGCATAGAGGTCACGTAGAGGTCGCGTAGAGGTCGCCGCGCACGCTCGCACTCACCTGACTTCTTATGCACCTCGGCGAGAGAGTAGAGTACGATGTGAGAGTCCGCACAGAACGAGATGAGCGTGTCGCGGTAGATGTTGAGCAGCAGCACCTGCGTCATGGCGCGCACGATGCACGCGTGAGCGTTGTCCAGGTTCGACGCACGCGGGTACACGCGGATCTGTCGCGCGCGCGAGGGAAGACAAGAGAACATCAGACAAGAGAACGTTAGCAGGAGAGAGAGCGTCGGTCAGAGAGAGTGTCAGACGATAAGAGAACATCAGATTGATTGAGAGAGGGAGAATTAAGAGATTAATTGATTAAATTAATTGAATCAAGAATTGCAGTTATTAATTATTTAAATTACGGTATGATTAAAATGCAAACAGCTATATACAAAGTGAAACAACAACCCTATATATAACTTCCCTCCATCAGCCGTCGATCGTAGCATCACTGTTCTCTGCAGTATTCTACAGGATTCGAACTACAATTGTTTGTGGGAGGAGTGAGGGACGACGACACCAAAATATGATCTACACCTTCAACACGTGACGATAACAGAAACCCCGATAACTTCCCTCCATCTGCCATGAGCGCGATTGTTCTGCAGGTTTGTAACTACAACCTGTATGTGGAAGAGTGAGGGAATGACAGCATCCTACCTCGTCTCTGTAGTCGTTCAGGTTGTAACAGCCCATGATGATATAGTCCTTCCACCACGTCAATCCACCCGTCACGACCACATCCTTCTCCTGGCAGACATAACGAGAGAGAGAGAGAACTCACTTATGCGCTTGGTCTCCCGATGGGACACAAGGCCATGAGAGTGGGTGAACGCAAACATATCCATATTCTCACGGTGAAAGAGCGAACAGAGCTTAAATATATACATATATACATCAGAAGTAGATAATAGGGACCCTATTATCTACTTCTGATATACATGTAACGATGATATATCTGCATTGAGCGAACTAACACACGCGTCATCGAACAGAGAAGAAATGAAATGCAAGAATTGCTCAACGCTAGCCCGCCGCAAATATATCGCAGTCGTAACGCGAGCATGTAAATCCAACAAAAACTAAAACTTGTAAACCAGACGAACAACATTCGATTTTCAACCGGGGGGGGGGGTGCAGTTTACGCAGAAAAACAGAAATCACGTGTGAAAGAAAAAATCGTTGCAATACCTGTGTCACGTTGCCGAATAGTTTCCACTTTCGACTGTATAGTGCGTAGTGTGCGAATCCGCTGCGGCCAGCCACAGCGGCGTAATTACCCGACGAATCAACGGCAGCGTACTGAAAAAAAAAGCTGCGCATACAACCCAGCACGTCTCCATGGCAACCACCAACCGATAAAACACAATCAAACTCATAATTCAAAACACATCGAACATAAATTAATCCTTCCATAAGCCGAGCAACGCATGATCTATACGATTTAACAACGCCTAGCAAGAAAACCGAGAGTTTAACGTTTAAAATAATGTTACGTTCGCATCACAACAATTAAACCTCCCAAAAAACGACGCCACACCATTCCCCAACCAGCAATGAGGAATCGAGAGCAAACGGTGCCATGCCACGCCCCTTGTGTAGTGTGGGATGTCGTGTGTAAGGTGTAAAGTTCTCACTCGCATGATCCTTCTTTATTATTTTATTTCTTTTTTATTTCCCTCGCAATCTACGTCTCTATGGTGCATTATGGAACTGTGGTTTCGCAACACTACATTTGCAAAGTCCCCATTTGCCCCGATCAAAAGTCCATCAACTACGAACCCTGATTGGCCAGTTGTTGCCTAGATACGTCATCGGTAAACTACGAACCCTGATTGGCCAGTTGTTGCCTAGATACGTCATCGGGATCTGTATGACGTGCCAGTGCTTGTTGCCGACGAGCAGCGAGTCGCTGCGACCGGGAGGCGGCGTGAGGTGGCGGGTGCGCGTCGTGTACACGCTCGATCGCATGATCGTGTCTCCAGTGTTGATGAGGAGTCGATCCTCCCCCTGCAGGAACAGGTGGTCGTGGTTGCTCTGCAAAGTCACAGAGGAAATAGTCATTATAAAGTCTGCAATGTCAGTATTCGTACTGGCTGCAGGGACAGGTGGTCGTGGTTGCTCTGCAAAGTCACAGAAAAAATAATCACTGTAAAGTCTGCAATGTCAGTATTCGTACTGGCTGCAGAGACAGGTGGTCATGGTTGCTCTGCAAAGTCACAGAGAAAATAGTCATTATAAAGCTGGCAATGTCAGTATTCGTACTGGCTGCAGGAACAAAAGGTCGTGGTTGCTCTGCAAAGTCACAGAGAAAATAGTCATTATAAAGCTGGCAATGTCAGTATTCGTACTGGCTGCAGGGACAGGTGGTCATGGTTGCTCTGCAAGACAATAACGACACACTCCGACGATGTCAGTATTCGTCTGATCTGATTCTTTCGGTACCAATTTGAGTGTTCCGATTAAATTTCAGTACCGATTTCAGTGTTCTAATTAAATGCCAGTACCGATTTCAGTGTACTGATTAAATTCCAGTAACGATTCCAGTATTCTGATTAAATTTTAGTAACGATTCCAGTGTTATTATTAAATTCCAGTAACGATTCCAGTGTTCTGATTAAATTCCAGTAATGATTCCAGTGTTATTATTAAATTCCAGTAACGATTTCTCATTTTGATAGCAACTGTTGTTCCGATAACAACTCCGTTGTTGTTTGTTTGACTGCGTCCTTCGCATGACCTTCACAGAGACCTACCTTACACGGGTTGACAGTCAGAGCACTCTTCAGAAAGTTCATCTGCAGAAGATCTCCTTTACTGCTGCCATCTGGTGGCTCACAGGCCATCCACAAGTGGTATCCCTCCATGCCCCACTCCTGCAAGACAAATTTCAAACTAAAAAAAGTCCTACGATGAAATGTCGGTGGAAAAATGCCAGTGGGGAAATGTTAAGAGGGGCATCGACAGTTGACGTTATATCTTTACGCTCCAAACGTTATGGGGTCTCCGATGGGGTCGGAGGGAACAAAGAAGATGGGGGCGCCACCGCCACTCACCATCAACGTATTAGCCAGCGAGCCGTGATTTGCACGGTCAATTTTGAAACTGCACGACCAAAAATGTGCAGTACGGCCTAAAATATTGATCTAAAGCCGCGTACATTTGTAAAATTGCACTCCCATATATTTTTTCGGCACTCCCACAATACTCATTCCTGGCTAATACCCTTCTCACCATGGACCTCACACGCAGCAGAGGCGAGTGAAACAACGTTAACGAGAAGAAAGGGTTAGCAGAGCGACAGCCACGGAGCGAAGGAGTGAGAAAGGGACGGAGGGGCGGTAGGGGGCGCCACCGACACTCACCATGGACCTGACGCGGAGCGGCGACGTGTCGAGGAGATGCTGCGACATCTCGTAGTCGCCCCCTAGTGTGCAGAACAGCAGCGATCCGAAGACGCTCCACAGCGACAGTCCGCCGTTGCGCCACGCTAGCGCCACCGCGCAGCCGTCCGGCGACCACTGCATGCAGACGACCGGTCCAGCGATCGCCTGTACGTCTGCAAGAGAGAGAGAGAGAGAGAGCGGCGGTGAAAGGTGGCGCCATCCAGGGGGAGACGCGGGTTTTTTCGATCAGCGAAAAATGCGATGCTAATGCGAATTGCGGTGTGGTGCACACGTGCACGCACGCACGCACGCATGCACTCACTCGCTCGCACGCACGGACGCACGGACGCACGCACGCACACACACATGCACTCAGTCGCTCGCTCATTCGCACGCACGCACGCACGCACGCATGCACACACACATGCACTCACTCGTTCGCTAACTCGCACGCGCACACGCACGCATACACACACACGTGCACGCACGCATGATCGCATGATCGAACGCACGCACGCACGCACGCACGCACACACACACACACACACACACCCATTACGTGAGCAAGCTAACGTGGGAACGTGATCACGCACCTGGGTAGTCCTTACTCGACAGCACGAGTCGATGAGAGACGTTCAGACCTCCAGTCACCTCATCTATCACAAACACAACTCCCTGCGCGCTGCAAAAACAACAAGAGAACGTACGTTACTTCAATAACCACCCCGCAGTAATGAACGCGTTACGACGGCGAAACGCGACACCCGCCACCGCTGACGTACGCGTCGCATCGTCTCGATACACGACATCGCGTCAATTTATTATTTAATTAACGGAAAAACGAAGGTTACGTAACGACGGTTATTGAATAGAGTCGGCGCCGTGTGTCTTGCCCATTAGTAAGTTCTCATCGCGTGCAGGCGCAGTATTGTTACATATAGGGTGTTGACAAGCACACAGCTCTGACATGAACCTAGTCTAATACAGAGATTGATATCATAGCGTGCTTGAAACGCGAGAGGGGTCACCCATTGAATGGTGGATAACTGACTAATTATGAGACTTCGTGCCTTTTTAAAAAAAGGTTATATAGAGGAAATTGCAGGTGTGCAGCGTTGGGTGTAGAAATCTTTTTAAAAAGACACGTCTATGCGCGCACGCGCAGATGTGCACACACACAGCATGCACGCACATAACGCGCGCACGCACGCACACAAACAGACACACACACACGCACGCACGCACGCACGCAGGCACGCACGCAGACACACGCACACGCGCACGCACGCGCACGCACGCACGCACACATGCAGACACACTCACACAGCGGTGGCAAAAACCACGGTTGTTATGAAAAAAGTGACAGCTAAGCTAGCGTATATTCCCACAGCTGTGTTCATAATCATACAGTGTGAGAGAGAGAGAGACAGACTTGATGCACATTCAAATTCTCGCACAATCGCACAGTCATGTTCACTAACACACTGTGCGTGTGTGTGCGTGTGTGTGTGCGCGTGTGTGTGTGTGTGTGCGTGTGTGTGCGCGCGTGCGTGCGCGTGTATGAAAGTGTGTGTGTGAGAGAGAATTTATCGACTGGCAGAGATATATATGCGTCATTCAGGTTCTCTCTACCATTTACCCAGTGTGTCTGTCTCTTTGGCTAACCCAACTCTTTCTTCTACACTTTATATCTCCCGCTCCCTCCCTCCCTCTCTCTCTCTCTCTCTCTCTCTCTCTCTCTCTCTCTCTCTCTCTCTCTCTCTCTCTCTCTCT